AGCGAAATATTTTTACATGGAAATTGTAGATCTCGTCGTCCTCTACAAAAAAGGTGTGATGCAATTTTCCCGTATCTCGAACGGTTTGGGAGTTATCGGCCAAAAACGAAAACTTCGAAGAAATTGAAGGGGTACCCCTTGGAAAAATCTCAGAAAAATCGAAAATCTTTTTTTGTTGTTTATTATTAGCAATGTTCTTCCGACGTCTGATTTCTTTTTAAAAAATGCGTTTCTAAAGTGCATAAACTTTTGGGATTGACTGTATAGCCAATACATCCTTAAATGCTAATTTTGATCACGCCGTAAATAAATGACTTACAAGATGTGACTGGAGGTCCGGTTCGATCACTTTTTTAGAGTACGACCCAAAGTAGAAGCAGGCGTAATTGTTGCAGTTATCCAGTTTGATCGTCTTCTGAATCATTATAGTCTCGCTGGGCACTTTGTTCAACTGCGGCAGCGATTCCAATTCGTATCGGTCGTTCTTTATCTTGTTCATCATCCTCTTTGACGGATAATGATTTATCGTGATCGTCCCGTTGCAACAACCGATCGTGCTGTTCTCGATAATGTCGTACGTCCCGTCCGGCAAACCGTTCAAATCGGTGCCGATGCTGAACCGTTCGACTATCAATTTCATGTTGTTCAGCTCGTATACGTGTATCTGGTCATTCACTATCATGTGATCCACCCCGCGGTCATTGAATTTGATCTCGAACGGGTCCGCGGCAATGTCTCTCTTATCCTCCTCCGGTATGTCGACCTTGTTCTTTCTCATCATGTCCAACTCTTTGTTCACCTCCAGGTGACAGTTTAACCCGTCTGACCCTGTCGGCCTACAGTAGAGCTTGGTGGTGGCGGACTCGGTCAAATGTATCCCATCAGGACTCGATGAGTGCCTGGTACTGTTCCACTCTACGTCAAAAACATATTCGGGGCCGTGTTCCCAAGCGCTTTCGTCGACCGCTATGCGGGCGACTGAAACAAATTCTCTTGGTCATTTTATAATTTTCGAAGTAGGACTCTTTTGTAATTTGGTTGCATCAAGCCGTGAATCGAAGTCGTGTCACAAATATAACTAAAGTAAATAAGTAAATGCTATCGAATCACAGTTTGAAAAGATATTTTGAATTAGTCGTGTTCATTTCGAACGGAAATAATAGTTTACAATTAATTAGTGGTAATAATAATCGTATAAGCAGTTCTTGTCTCGCGATTTACACGGGCAGATTGAGGATAAAGATAGTTAAATGGACAATTGGCTTACCGACCTAAGAAGAACGGAATTAATGAAGCGAGCATGCCGTAGCACCGTTCTCAACTGGTTTAACACTGTACTTCAGCTTGAAGATCCTTTTATATCGCCGATCTGCTTTGACGACTCTCGTCGTGTAAGTGAATTAGGCCGTCCCCCGTCCACCGGCCACCGTAATCGTTACTTAGACTTAGAATACTTCGCAATGCGCGTAGTTTTCCCTGTTTTAAAAACTTTACCACAATCGTGCCTATTATTTATTCATTTTTAAATACACATTTTGAGAATATTATTATAAATTTGACTGAAAGTTTTGCGAACAGCATAAAACAGTGTCTATAAAAAATTTATCACGCTTAAAATTAGCATCATTCCATATTGCGACATCTTTCGAAATGGAACTGTTTTTTTAATATTCATGCAAACCATTTAATTTTTTTTTAAATACTACAAGACTTACTTTATCAGATAACGTGTAGATAATTTTTATAATATTTTTCCATCTTACGATTATAAATAACAATCAGCAAATATTTAATGCACAACACACAAAATAACAAAAAACAACAAAAATATAATGATTATTCAACAAATATGTATATTATTACATATGTTCATTTAGAATACAATAGGATTATTCGTTAAATAGTATTATGTTCTTAAATAGTATATTGTTTATCATCATTACATAGATTTTTGCAGCCCCTTACTATCGATTTCATTTACTTGCTCTCGGGAATCGATTGTAAGTTAGTATAAGCGTACAAACTTGTCGACGCGGGACTCTGGACTTCTGGCATCGAATCTCGAGCTGGACTTATACTTTTCAAAGTCAAGCTTATTTTCTGATGAATCCGCATCGTCCTGGGTCTGTTCAGCGTCCTCATCATTCCCGACGATTCCGTATACGAATGAAACTCACTTGGTGACACGCTCATGTGGCTAATAGTGCACAACACACAAAATAACAAAAAACAACAAAAATATAATGATTATTCAACAAATATGTATATTATTACATATGTTCATTTAGAATACAATAGGATTATTCGTTAAATAGTATTATGTTCTTAAATAGTATATTGTTTATCATCATTACATAGATTTTTGCAGCCCCTTACTATCGATTTCATTTACTTGCTCTCGGGAATCGATTGTAAGTTAGTATAAGCGTACAAACTTGTCGACGCGGGACTCTGGACTTCTGGCATCGAATCTCGAGCTGGACTTATACTTTTCAAAGTCAAGCTTATTTTCTGATGAATCCGCATCGTCCTGGGTCTGTTCAGCGTCCTCATCATTCCCGACGATTCCGTATACGAATGAAACTCACTTGGTGACACGCTCATGTGGCTAATAGATGTGACCTAGGAAATTATTTGATTAATTTGTTCAATTTACACGTTGAACTCAAAGTGTGAATCTGTATTTATATAAAATCCGCAGGTGTAAGCTATAATATTCAATTTCAGAGGCTCACCATATCCATGAATGTGTTTTTATTTCCCGAACTGAAGTCCTCGTGGTTTCCAAAGAAATAAATCTTCCTGTGGGGACAGTTTTTCGGATCCCTGACCTTTTCAATGGCGAGCGCTGCTCTGTTCAGTGGCACAAGGCCGGCTCGTTCAGGTTCAAAGTCAATTTCGAAATCCCCGTGCCTGTTTTCTTGCCTGTATCCTGTCCTTGACATTTTCACTTCCACCTCGCAATAGCCGACACTCGAGTTCTCCATAGTAACGAAACGATCGCGACTGTCGTCTAATTCAAAGCCAACGTTTAACTGTCCAGTGATCGTCCTGATCATATCCAGCCTCCACTTGGGTATGTTCCTCGAGACGACCAAGTTCTCGATTCCCTTGGGATTGAATCTGATCTCGAAAGGATCCTCGTTGATGAACCTGTCGCTAACTGGTACAAAATTCTGCGCGTTCGAACATCTACGATCGTGCGGGTCGGGACGAACGATTTTTCCATTGACGAATCGACACCTGAGAGTGTCGCTACCCATCGGCCTGCATTTCAGCTCAGACGCGATCATCGAGCAGAAATTGTCCTTTTCGTGGACGATATTGGCCAGAGACATGTTCACCAGAACGTCGTACGTGCATTCTGGCCCGTTTCGGTGCCAATCAGAGTCCTCCTGCTCGTGGACGGCCACACGTGCCGCTGGAATTACAACGAACCTATTTATACCGGTAGATACCAGTAGACAGTGAGAATGGGCAACGTGATCATAATGCCTTTGATCCCTGCCTGGCATTAATGGCATTTATCCATTATGTCTAACGATACGAAAAAGGAGTTGTTATATTAATTGCTGTTTCGATCATCAGGCATTCAGAGTAATAATTTAATTAGAATTCTTTATAGTATAGCTACCAAAAAAATGCAAAGTATTGAAAATATAGGAGTTGAAGATATAGATTAAAAAAATTAAAACAGGATGAATCTACAAGTCTACATCGATTCAAAGTCTCTCTGTGGATATGGAAACTGGAAACAAATTCTGTCTTTTGTAAATGACAGAAACGCCTAATTCTTTTGTTTTATAAGAGTTCGAAGAGAATAGAATGAAACAAGGAATACATAAGAATCCGGGATAACTGTGGAACTATCGTACATCGAAGTTTTGTGACAAAACGATACTGTGTACATACCCAGTAAAAATGGCAAGATTATTACCAACATGTTCGGCGACTTCCTCTGTTGCAACTGATACGACAGTGTTTCATCTCTCTTGTCTTTATACGACAGATAACTTGATTCATTACCTTGAAAACAATTTTATTAACAACCGCTTCCGTGCAATGGTTGCATATCGTGGTTCCTCCAGACATCTTCCGTGTCTCCGCATGTTCATATCATTTTCCGTAGTTTCTGAATTACGGCTGCCGTGAGAATCTTAATCGTGATCGTGACGCGACGGTCGTCTCGACACGCGTTTCAACCGAATTGAATCAAACATTATTAATCGAATCGAGAGACGCCGTGACGTACCGATGGTAAAGAGTAGTATAATTTTCCTGTTCATTGTTTTAATTGCTGATGATTTTCATTGCCAGTTTTGTGCAATCTTGTCGTTGTCGTCTCACTTGCTCGATCGAATGGCGTAACGCGGCGAGAGTGCAGTATGAAAATTTCGGGAATCGTCTGCTACGGAATGGTTTTAATCAAACCTTGGTCACTGCGAATTGCTGCTTTTCTGTATAATAAATATACTTCTTCTGACCCATCGTAATTCGGGCCACCTACATTGTACGGTGGTGTTTTGTACAGTTTTGAATTTGCTAATTTCTTCTTAATCTTACTTTCAATACATGTATATGAGTCGTGTCAAATTTTTTAACCACCCAGGGCCATATTAAATATTATATATTAAATCGCAGACTGTAGAACAAAAAGGAACAAATGGAAATAAGGATGAAACAAATTAGCCTTTATTATAAACAAATCAATATATATAAAATAATAATACACAGAATATAAACATATTAAAAAGTACACATATATATAGGAAAATTTCTTTCTCCCAATTTAACATTTAAATAAAATAATAGCTTTCTTTTAAAGAAACTTGGCAACGTTTTTCATTAACTAAATCTTCAAAATTTGATTGAATTCGTTGAGCTGTAGTTATTTTTTAAATTGCCTGTCTGTTAGTTTTTATCTCTCCGCAGTTTTATTATTCTTTAAAGTGGAAAATAGTTGTTCACACAAATATGTGCTACCGAACATTGGTCCAGTGTTGTCGAAAGTTAAATAATTATTATATTAGTTATCAATCTTAGTGGGCCTCGTGTTTAACATGCCTGATGTATATTATGCATATATCTGTATTATAATCCATGAATGGATTGATATGAATTTTACTTCATCCTTCAGCTGAATAAATGTAATCAAACGTTCGTACTTATTATAACTTTATTAATTACAATTACGAGAAACTGTGTAAAATGGCATCAATTCGAATTAATCGTGAAACGGACAAGGTACAATACGTACAAATGACAAATGTCTTTATTATGTACAGAATTAAATGACAATTACGCACAGTATTTACAACAGTACATAGCGATTCACAAAAATTTGATCGATTCATATATCAATTCGCATGTCACCGATCTGTTACACAGTACTGCTATGCGAATGGTATCGAATCCATGTGTACAATCCTTTTAAATCTCAATCGGCGAGTCCATCTCGATCGAGTCCTCCTCCATCGAGTTCTCCGCCAACCATCTTCCGATAAACATGCTGGCCGATTCGGGATCCTTCACTTCCGGTGGCTCGCTCTCCGCGGGCAAAATCGATTCCAGCCTCAAGCTTATGTGCTCGTACAAAGTGGTCTCTGTACTTTCAGATACTTTGCTGGTGGTTACCACGTTCGTGGTACCGGATATGAACTCGGTAGAAGTGATCGCTGCGTGACTCTCCGAAGAAACCTGCAGAACGTACAATCTTTCTGTTACATTCGTCCTAAATATAATAATTAGACTGCGAATTTCGAATAAAACATTTATGATAGTTCCTTAAAAAATGCATTTCAAGTAGAAGTTTGTTGCTTCATTTAAACTTCATTTACAATACGCATTCACTTGTAGTACTCACTTGTAGTATATTTTCATGGATCGCATGCAGTATTTCTATTTTCGATATTTATATAAATGCATACAATTCGCAGTCTGTTAATGACAAATCTGTATCAAAGAATCAACACGATTTGCACGGGTACAGATTTGCCGATTCAATATCCGACACTCGGGGATACTCACGACGGAAGAGACCATGTCGCTGATTTCGCGCATAGACTCTGCGCTGCCGAAGAAGTACGGCATCTTGTGCGTGCACATAAGGAGATTCCTGATCTTCCTGATCTGCACCAGCTGTCCGTCCTTGAGGTTGAACAGCGTCTCGAGAACATAGCCACGATTTATGCGGAACGAGTGACCGACCGTGCTCCGTTCCATCGTGAAAGTCGTCATGCACTCCCCCAGAGTGAAATTCTCCATCACCTCGAATTCGGGCTTCCCGTATACGCTCATGAGGACGCCGATGTTCAGCTGGCCGACTATCACCCGGATCATGTCCAGCTCTCGGGGTTGGATGTTCTCGTTCACGACGAGACTGTCCAGCCCCTGTTCCGAGAATTTGATCTCGAACTGCTCGCGGCTCAACTCGTACGCCTCCTGCCTGGACACCGGGCCGATAGGAACGGCTGACATGACAGGATCTAAGCTTTCGGTAGCGTAACTGTCCGCTTGCGAGTCCCGAAAATGGCAGCTAAGTCCTAAGTATCCCTTCGGCTGGCACACCAGCTTCGAGGCGACGTTCAGCCGGATGCTCATGTAGCTTCCTTCCTCGGGGATCGCGGTCGAGTTCACGTGAACTTGAAACGTGTATTCCGGCCCGTAGTTCCATACCGCCGAGTCGATGTCGACACGTGCAACTGAAAAACGTACACGCGTACGAGATTATTGCTTCCCTTTGCTCCCGATTCGCGAGACACGGCCCGCCTAAGCACGCGGCTGTCGTGGACCGTGTGTCGCGGGTGAATTGAATGATTGAACCGGCTTGAATAGGCCCGATTAGAGCCAGCCTCGCGATGGTTTCCGATTCTTATGTCCCGGCCCACATCCCATGCTTGCCTCCCTACACATACATATGTTCGTCGTCCTGACTTTCCAACTTCGTTCATAATAAAATCGAAGAACAGGGAAATGATTTTATTTCGGACGAAGCTGAGACGCGCGAAAGGGTCAAGAGTCATCGGACCGGGCACCATCGGTTACCTCGTCCGTCGGGGCTTACCTAAGAAAAATGGCACCACGGTTAGCACTACGCTCATGTTGACACTGGCCAATAGTTCGGACAACTTTAATGGAGTAACCGATGTTGAGGCCGCTCTTATACCGCGGCTAAACTGCACTACTGACCTCTTCTTACGATTACTCAGCTCCAAATCGCCGGACCTCTCTCTTTCCAGTTGGAAAATAAAGCGTGGATGTACACGCCACGCCGGCCGGCCGGCCGGCCGATCGATTTAGACAATTGATATGGTAATACCAATCGGGGTCATGAAGGGACCCTCCCACGTTAACACGCTTATTTCGAAACTGACAATTACCTCGTGTGTCAACGACCGTCGACGTTAGCGTCATCCCCGATCCCTTCACTCTCGGATCAACGAAGAATGGGATAAACTATTCTTTTATTTACAGCCCCAGTCTACATTCAGCGAGCTGTTAACGTCAAAGAATACTTTATCAGCTTCCGAACGTTCTTTTGTTAGAGAATTATTTTATACGAAGCAAGATGGACTTCTTATTTAACGTTTACTGATTTTACGATTCTGAGAACAGAGGAGGAAATGTCAATGACGAAAGATAAGATGAACAACTTGGCATCGATGAATTACGCGTCTGGTACAATCTAGCTTCCAAGGAGATAACGTGACCGCTATAAACCGGACTTGATTAATCACTATCAGGAAAATCTACGCTATTAATTTGCATTGCATAATTCTTAAACGATAATTATCAATAATACACAATGTGGTTTGTTAGAGACATGGTAGAATTTTTATTGAAATTGAGGAATATTATTAATTGCAGAATTTTATTATTTTTCAATGACAAAGATACAGTTGGAATAATATAAAAATGTTTACAGTATATATCGTATACAGTGTAGATTTCCATATGCAGACTTAATTGTATCTTCACATATTTTACGAAATGCAACGTAACGTCTTACCATAGTATTCTAATACATGAGATAGGGAGATCTATAAAACGCACGATTATTTGCATAACAGATAGGAAGTAAAATAAAATCAGATTTTAATCGCAACGACACTTTAATCGGCATGGCTTAAACACAAATGGTCGCGCGCAATCTCACCTATTTAAAACAATTATGATTTTGGAGTCAGTGACGGGCCGAGTATCGTTGTATTTGTCATCTTCTTCAAAGGAGACTTGGCAGGATCGATGGAAGCTAGAGATAAACGAATCTGATCAAATGACGTCCCGAGCTTCTCTCCATTGTCTGCGTCGTACACTTCGAGCGTGTTGACGCTCTCCGAGGTGAAGTTCGAGAAGGAAATAAATATGTGTGCGGTAGAATTTTTCTGAAAGTACAATGTAACGTAATGTAAAAGTTGAAACAAATTCAACGAGTTTACTCGTGAATAGAGCAATTGCTTGATTAAGCAGCAATCGTGCGACGTACCAGTGTGTCGTTGGTTTCTCGATGGAACACGTACATGTGTTTTGTTACCAGTCTGTACACCGGTTGCGCGAGACAACTGTTGAGATGCACCTCCTTCGTGACCTCGATCACCGGGTTGCTCTTTAGATTCTTGTTGTACCAGTCGATCCACACCCCTGATCTAAACGTTTGGTTACCCTGTTCCTGGTGAGAAATCTTGGTCTCCGCGCGACATTCGCCTATAGTGAAGTTCTCCGTCATCTTGACGTCCTGGCTCTTGTACGTAGTCGCTGGCGCTTTACCAGCAAGGGTCGTCTTCGCCCAGACGTTCAAATGATTCGCCACCAGCCGATACAAGTCCGTAATATCGTCCGTCGCCTGCTTCTCGCCGTTCTCGAACTCGAAGAACTCGATTCCGGTCTCTTTGAACTTGATCTCGAAGGTCACATTTCCCATATCGAACTCCACGTTCTTGGACGTGATCGCGACTTCCGACGGTATTGCAATCTTAGCGTCCTCGAAGTGGCACTGCAGCCTGTCCGGTTCCTTAGGCTGGCATTTCAGCATGGCGTTCATACTTGATCCTTTGGGTTCATCCTCGTCCGTTGTCAGATTCTTTACCGTATTGATGGTTACATTGAAAGTATACTCCGGTCCGTTCTCCCATCGGTGGTAATCGTCCGGTACGTAAATTACTGGAAAAATAACGATTTAGTCGACACAGTAAGAACGTCTACATTTCGAAGGAGCGCGATTGATATTAAGGACAAGGACACTTGAGGTGCGAAGAAGTTTGATAAACCCGTCAGCGGTGTTAATGTATAGCTTGACCCGTCCTTCACGAATCATTGACGGTGGCAACGATAAACGGTCGCGACGAACACACGCACTAGCGATAAGTAGTCGGGGGACTTAACTGACCTAGGAGAAACGGCACCAGAATGAAATACATGGGCCCGGTCATGGTTCGGTCGAAACGATGTGATATACTCTCTTGATCTCTCTTGGTGGACAGCCACCAGCCTGGCTTTTATACTTACACCGTCGCCGGTATTTGCCTCTATCACGAGCTATCTAGGTAGGGCGCAATTTCATGCACTAACACATGCGATTACGAATTTCTTTGAACGAGTTATCATCTTAGTTAGCCCTAGTTATCCAGCTTTACTTTTCTATACAATTTAGACGAGTACGATGTCAATTTACTCTCATAGTTTCTAAGGGAGGACAACTGTGATACTCCAGAATGTATCACAATCTTCATCAACGTGAAATAATAGATTCTATTATTTTGTACAACGTGTAAGTTTATTATTTTAGAGCGAAACAAAAGTTCGTGCGTTGTTGCTGTTGTTCTTTTAGTTTGTATAATATTTTGACATCAATAAAAATACTTTATACCTATACAAGTGTTATATATCATTTTATAGCTTTTGAGAAGTTATTTATTATTCACGCATTAGTTACAATTAATTTATTGATAAATAATAAATATAGGAGCCATTCTTGGAACATCACGTTTTGCGTTACTAACACTTGTTAGATTTTTGAATGAACTAATGCCTTGGAGAGGAAAGGAGAGAAATGTGTGGGTGGCGAAAAATGATGAAACAGCACTCTGGTAAAGACCTTGAATGTGTCAGACATTTAGCTCGTGGAATAAAGGGAGTAATTTTGTCATTATCGCGTTGATCAGTCGCAATGATCTCGTTTGCAACATTAAATTAGATGATGTCGACCGCTAGTGCAATAAGAGACGAAACAATGATAATTTCTGTAAATATCAAGAAATTCGCTGCCGTGAACTATGTCCCACCGAAATTCAATGATTCCATTCTTCGAACAGGTTCAACTAAGTTTGCCAATACTACTTTTATTATAACAATTAGAACTATGTTTGTACGAAAGCAATGAAATGGAAGAATTGGTTGAAAAATAGGTAAAAGTGAAATAATAAAATATCTTAAGGACGTGTATAAAATTTTTTAATTCTCTTTTCTATTATCATACCGTCTATATTTTAATTTCAATGAAGTATTATAGTTTAAAGACGCGTATGTTGGAAAAATGCTTCAGAATCACTTATGAAACGCGCAGAAGCTTTTGTATAAGGTTCAATGAATTACGAACGATGGCGACACTATGCAACAAGAGACTGTAAAAATAAAAACGTCATTGACAATAATATAAATTAAAAATTGTCAATCTCTTCTCAATTAATTTAAAACGCATTATCATAAATGCCTAAAGACCAGTTTTTCTATTCGAACTTCTAATAATTGCATTTTAAATACGTAACATATATAAAATACATAACAAACAGAAGAATATTTATTATTTCAATTAAAACGAATACAGTTAATTTATTTATTAGAAATTATATGAAAAAGTTTCTAAGAAGTATAGAACAGGGAATCACAGGCTTGATCATGAACACTTTATTCGTTTAAATAGCATTTATATCGATTAACAATGAAAGATCAGTAGTTGGCCAAGGATGTCAAAGTTCAGGGGAAAATCCATTTGATGTGGAATGTGGAATGAACAAAACGTAGACTACCGTTGACGTAAGTCGTTTCCAAATTAAGACGAGTTTCTCATCGTGCGCTTGACTCGTGCAACTAATTAAATCTCAGTGTGAAACGTAATCGCAAGTAAATTCGTAGTTTCCTGTTTTAAAGATCAGTGAAACGGTAAAACGAACCACTGACTTTGCATCATCGGCTTCTCAGGAATAATAAAAATGTTGAATGAAATTCTGGAAGGCTTTGGTATTCAAAGTAGATGGGGAAAATCCAAGACAGCATCATTCTCCCAGTATCCGAACGAACGATACTTAAGCACGATAAACAAGACGTATACCTGACCTTGACCATAAAAGTTATTATCCCTTCTCCACGTTTTCTCGTTCGAGTGCCATTCGAACAATGCGCGGTACATCGAGAGAAGAGAAACCCGAACAAGCCGTAAAAAGTTAAGCTTGAGATATATGTATTGTCCTCAAGTATAATTTAGCGCTTCTGGCATTTCTGTTGGTTTGGTGAATATCTTATTGAAGCTACAGCAATTTCTTATTGATTGGGAAATTCACAAATACAGAGTAAATGTCGCAGTCTGTTCAGTATCAAAGTTCTGACCTTTGACACAGTGGACGCATTTTTATTCAAGAATAAGGAGAATAAATTGCGTTATCGTTGTTCGGAGATAATCTATCTCCCAGCTACTATCAGTTTGAAAATAAAAGGGAAAATTAAAGTAACGCATGATGTCAGGCGAAAACCGCAACGAGATCCGCACGTACCATATTCTAGCCAACAATGACATTCCATGACACAATGAAAAATGATAATTGCATTATTCCGAAACAAAAGGCTGACGATTTCTGTGAATTTAGAAGTGAACATAAACGTCTCTACATTCCACATCTTCGTGATATCATCTATCCTTCTATATCACAATTAACGCAGTTACAATGGAATTAAAAGTATTAATCTATTGTAAAAGAATTGTTCGAACGTGCGGTTAACAGGAAAGTAAACTGAGTTAAAAGATTTTAATCAGCTGAAAAGATATATTGATACTTTCTCAAGAACTCTCTTATTTGTCTTTCATTTTTCTATCATCTCAATTCGAGGTCAGCACGTTTTCGCCAATCTAATTAATGGTAGCTCGTATACGGGTCAGAAAAGATTTCACGAGAATCCAGTTACTCGCCTTGAAGAGAAATTAATGCCCCATGAAAAAAAGAAGTGACCGCGTCGTTTCCCCCCATCGTTATTTGTTTTGCTTCTTTAAAAAATACGTACGTACGTCTGTGGAATCGAGCACGGGAAGTTGCCGCGATTTCCCATCGACGTATGACTCGTCCGGTTCCGTGGTGGGGAATCCGGTATCTGCGGATTTATATACAAGAGCCACCATCGCTTTGAATAGATTAGTGGCGAACGGTGAAATCGAACGATCAGACGACGTTCGGAGACAATATACTCGTGCAAGTTCTTCAAGAGTACTCCTTACAGCATCACCATGGTGAGTCGAATTCTCGTGTACAATTTAATTATTATTTATATTAAATTTTGTGTCTTAAATGCTGATAGAAAAAAATCTACTCACATATTAACGGTTTATCAAATTTACTTTTACAGATCAAACAATTAACAATTTTATTCTCCGCTATCGTTCTGGTGCAATCGCAGAGACCACCCTATGCCGGAAGTAGCAAGCCTTATCCTGGAGTTCTTCCACAATATTTGGATGCACAGACAACAACAGCACCTACTACTTCTAGCAGTAATCAGACTGGGATCGGAAATCGAATCGATGTGAGCAGCAGCAGTGTCGGTCCAGCCTTAGGAGCCGCACCTCCCAGTGTACCGACGATTCCTCAGGATCTGCCAGTGGATGCTTTGGGAGATATCGAGCTGATAAACAGAATCAAGACCTGGCCGAGGGAGAAACAGCCTTTCTGGTTCATCAACTGGCAACAGATCCAAGAACATCGTGGCGATGTGAATAACAGGGTTCAGCCACCTCAAACTCAACCGAATACGAGACCGTTTTTCGCGGGTTAGAATAAAGCAGTGTCCGTGAAAACAGTTCTATTGATTCCAATTCGACGACATCCACTGCCGTCACTTTTCTGCTAGTCACATTTTCATTCGAGATGTACTTAAATGACAATACGTTTGAAAAACACGAGTAGACAAAGGTATCGTGTAATGTTTCCTAAAAATCGTTTACACATGAATATTGCAAAGAAAAATTGTAATTAAAGTTTTAAGTTTCGTTACACGATACGTTTAGTCACTTCGTTGACACAGGATTTAATATCCAATGAATCTAAATAATTGAAGTACAAAATTATACGAATTTAATCAGTGTTTAAGAAACAACTGAAAGGTTATTATTACATGTGAGCAGTTTCGCGTTCGAACGGCGTATCTTTCGTGAACGAATAAAAAGATATTAATTAAAGAAACGGAGTTCGAGTCAGCTCGAAAAATTTTAAATTTCCAATCCACCTGCTGAGCAAGGCGCGCTAGCCAATCAGGTGTACATACGAGGTTCGACGGGGCGAACAGACTCGATCGTGGATCGCGCTGGCTGCGCATGAGTAGTTCACGTTGCACGGCCAGCGACGTCACAACGGTCCGTCCAATACAAGCGCGAGGATCTTACAATCAGTAATAACTCTAAGTGCGTGCGGTACGTCGACGCGTGGTGCTCGTATTCGGGCGTACGAACGCGAGAGAAGTGGTTATATACATAAACTCGGTTCGTGAAAGATGTTACCCGACAGGAATATATCAGCCGAGATATCAGTACGTTAGACTCATTTATCGTTCGAAACTAAAAACCCCTCAAATGCATCGGTTATTCGTTAAGAAAAAGTCAGACCGTAGACGACCCGCCGTAACTAACAGTCCACGCGGCGGCCCGGCCCGAAAACACTTTCGCCTCGCTATATACACGAGGACGAGAAATCGCATCGTGTTTCATTCACAACGCAAGCGCCACTGGCAATGTCGGGAAGTGACAGCCCAACATTCTTTCACGGCCAGCCCTGGTCGAACTGGATCGAAAGAATCGGACGAGACAAGCCGCTGAGTAAGTGCGATGAATCAAATCGAAATGTTCGTTTGCCGTCGCCGCTACGGGACCACGGCAACGACGAGCGTCTTAGCTCCTGTAACCTAACCTCAACAACGGTGCTCCTTTGTCCGTCGACTTGACGCACAGGGGCATCATTAGGGCCCGGATCGCCACGCATTTATTTTAAGTACCCTGTCCGTCGACAATCGTCCGGCGTGCGATCACGATTCGCGTTTCACGCAGATCGCGTTTGTTTTATCGTCTCTTTTCACTGGCAAATTATGTAATTCCCAACTAAAACGGCAGAATTAAATACAGACCGTCGAATGCATTAGCTTTTACAGGGTATAATATATTGGCATGGATCGGAGAATTTTAATAAAACGCGAGACGAACAAACGAGCCACTAGCACTGTTTCGATAGCCCCCCTTTAAATAATATCTACTCTTGTACTTTTATATTTCAACTCGGTCTTTCTTACAACTATTTTTTGTTCAAGGAATTATGCATGTATAAAATGTAAACAAAATAAATGTTGTTTACCTAGAAATTTGTGTTTTTTATTTCACTGTTCTGCTTATCTTTGTGATAGAAATTAATAAGCTAGTGTCTTAATAATTGTAAGGCTAACATTGTTTTATAATTCACTGTATCTTTTCTTTAAAATCATATTTATAACTTTAATGTAGTAAATGTGATCACTATCATACTTTAGTATAAGCTTGATCATGATATTCTTCAGCTTCTCTTTTTAAAAAATTAATTTTTAGATATCTGTTAGTATATTAGTATATTTTTAAATACACAGTACTAAACATAAACTGCAATGTGCCTTAGAATAATTTTTGTAGTTGTAATACTCTCTAGTTTCTGTGATCTAGTTTGTATGTTTCATAAAAGGATTTGCTCTATTTCAGGCGATGAAGAATCAGAAGCTCAGCTTTCCAGCTCAGTCACACGGCTTGCATCAGAAGGTAAATAGCAGCTTGTAAATTACAAAACAAAAATATTTTGGTTGAACTAAATCTTTTACAAGAAACCTCATGCTAAGATTCTAATAGATGATTTTCGTTCCAGATATTGATTTATATGGATTTTGTCCTGAAAGAGATACATTTTACACAGTGGTATGCGAGACCTGCCATGCAATAGTCAAACCACAAGCTCTCATTCAGCATATGGGTATGTCAATTCATCATGATAATTTTATTGTTTGTGTTTATTTAATCTAGTCAATAATTTTCAAGATTTGATTTCAATTATATATATATGAAAAGAGCTGCATTGAATACTCTATTTTTTCATACTATATTCACATAATTTAATTACTACTTTCACATTAAAGGACTGACCGAAGTAAAGTCAATACACGTAGCTCCTCATTCGGGTCGATTGCCGACCATGCAAACATCGTCTATTCTATACAAGCAGTGTACATATTTTGCCACAGAAAGTCGCCATCCCTCTGGTACGGTCAACTTTCCACCTCCTTCCACTCCGGTGGTAAAACCTCCGCTGAAGACGCCTTATTGCAAAGTTTCGAAACTCAAAAAGACGCAGCCGTCGCCGCAGATATCTACCAGTGGAAACAGTAGTAAGATAAATCACACGAATGTGAAACGAAGCAACGAGCAGCCGAGTATCTCAACAAGTTTATCATCTACGCCCGTACCGATTTCTTCGTCACCACGATCGCCTCTGGAGTCATTATCGTCGTCGACTTCGAACTCTGGCTCGACGGTCGCCTCCAGCCCCGTGAAAAGCCCCGGAACCGGTCAGCCGCGTCGGAAGAGGCTCAAGACCGACCGGTCTTTGCTCAAGGATCGAGAGTACGATCCGGACAAGCATTGTGGCGTCTGGAACGACGAGACCGGCAAGCCGTGCACCAGGTCGCTCACGTGCAAAGCTCACACGGTTTCGTTGCGACGGACAGTCGTCGGGCGGAGCAAAACCTTCGACAAGCTCCTCGCGGAGCACCGCGCCTCGAAGGAGGTCCCGAGCCGGCCGAAAGTGATCATGACTGGAACATTAACAGTGTCATCCGCGCCCTCGATCTTGAACCCGCTGACGCCTACAACGCCTGTCTTGACGATCGAAACCGAAGCGCCCAGTTCACCACCCGTTCTATCGCTGCCAGACACGTATCCACTGCCAAAGGTAAAGAGTCATGGTATCGATTAATTATTTCTACTTCCTTTTCTATTATTCTATTTCCTCTTCTTGACATGTTCTCAATCAGAGCCTACTGCGTGATCACCCTTCGTGGTGTGAATCCTGTTGCTTCGTTGTTCTGTTACCGGTATTGATTTTTATATGTATATCACAAAAGTTTAGCTTCTTCATGTAGCTTTTTTTCACGGATATGATTTCAAATTATTTCTTTTTACGACTAGCGATTCTACGTAATCTATCAGCTGATCGTGTATGTGTATCAATTAAAAGGGCCTAGATGACTAAGGGGGTCAAATGTGCCCTTGAGCCGAACGAAGCGCCGTTTGCGCCATTCGATAATTTATCAAAAACGAAACATTCACTTCAATTTTTAGCCCTATATCTCAACCAAGGGGGTAGTAATCGGGAAAATTCGAAAAATCAAATTTTTGCTGTTTTTCCTTAACGCCTTGCGAAAAATCTGAGAAAATTCTGACATGTTCGTAGTGTAGCTGGACATGTCTGAGAATCTTTCGGCGTTTCATTCGACTCACGGACACGTTTAGTCCCCTTATCCAGTTAGGCCCTTTATATGTATATTTATCTCGTGGCTTTCTATTTGTTTGGTTGGAGGAGGAACATATAATTATCGAATCTTAACTTGCAGCGTTGAAAGCAAATACATTTTCTGCTAGTGGTTACTGTGGGTATTTCTATTGTGTGCCATTAGTGCTCGTCACGCAATCGTTGTCGTATTTAGTTCTCCTCTGGAATTTCATGGTTTTGTGCTGTTTAAGAATTTTGGACTATAGTACAAATCTCAATTAGAAAATGTCTTCTTTTTTTTATTATGTGTACTGTAATTTTGCCTGTGTACAATTATTTACACGTCATGGCGATGTAAATATCTTAGGTGTCTCTCTATTGAATCCTGAAATACGAGTCCGTCGAAATAACTCATTTCTGTCTTCACCGTGTTCAGATTTATTACAAAATCTCTAAATTTCAATTTGGTTGCATTTTATTTGAACATCAGTTAAGGTCCTTTGGAATATAATTCCGTAGCGTCTTTAAGAAATGTACGAACTTTCCTGGGGCCGTGATCACCGATTCATTGCATTGTTCGTTTACTGATAGTCTCAGTTGAAATAGAGAACAGGTGGTTGTCGATCAAAATTCAGTCTTGCAATCGAGTTCGCAAAGGTGTCAGACATCAGGTATCAGTCGATACCCAAAGATTGCTCGCTTTCGTAGATCTCTTAAGACGCATTAAGACGGAACACAGCGTGGCTTGAAAAGAGAGAAAAAAGAAAGTTTAAAAAGAATCGCTGACGAACATGGATCGATCGACGAGCCAGGCGAGTCAGCCGCGACGAAGTAGTCTCGCAAAGCAGGGTGTCGGTTGATACCTGTTTTCTGTTTTTGTTATTACAGGCTGTTGATTTGCTTTATCGGTGTCTGGCCCCGCATGGCTCCACTAAACCTGTAAGGCATGGTTTCTTTTGGGCACTTAAACGCCTCGTACGGGTCCTACGATTCTTATTGCGAGTCGCCAACGCTTCTCTTTTTTAGACCAAACTCGAAGAAGACTTCGCCAACGAGGAGCTGAGGAGCCTGGAGTCGTCGCTAGTGAACTCGACCGGTACTTCGCAGTCGAGCTCTATGATGGCCCCGATACCCGTGGTGTTGCCATCGTTGTCACCGTTGCCGGCGAACAACGACGAGTCCTCGTCGTCGATCGCCACCTTGATACCGAGCACGGCATCCCCGGCTATACCGGTGCCAGCCACACTGCCAGCCACATGTACGCAGCCGTCGTTGGTCACGACCGTCCTCGAGGCCGAGACGCCGATCGACATCGACCCGGAAGCGGCGATGACCATCTATTCTCCGGTCTACAAGGACAAGTCGAAGTTGGTCCTGCAGCTACCGCGTTCGAACAACATCGCCCACTCACCTATATCTTCAATGCCAAGTCTGATATTCGAACCGATCGAGCAATTCGAACAACTGGAACAACTGGAGCAACAACACGTGACGCAGATAAACGGGAAGAGACTGAACCACGCGACGGCCCGTTCGAGTCCCATTGCCCAACGGCAATCGAAGAGGACCAAGCATCGAGAGTACCATCAGCAGGACCTGTCCACGGCTATACAGGTCGAGGCAACCACGACCTCGTCGCCTTACCCTCATTTCGGGGACATATCTTGGTCGAACTGTCATCCGGAGCCACTGGCGGTCAGTCGGTGGCTTCGTATTTCGTCCAGCCGTAAGCAGTACAACTTTAATATTCACTGACATAAAACCCCACCCACTCCAGGCTGAGGACCGTGCGCCATAGGCGTTTGTCTACCTCCTCTTTTTTTCGAGATCCTTTTTTTCACGATCGCCCTCGTCGCCGTCGCCGATGTGGTCTAGGTCTGAAGCCTGTCGAGAAGGGGACAAAGTTTTGATGTGAACTCGATGCGATAAGCATGCGCACACCGGAAATTATAAGCGCGGACACTGTAATTCATCACGTGAAATCGGAACGATAATGACATCATTTGCATGCTTCTTCTGTCTGTCGAAACGAAAATCTCGAGCAGAAACTACGGCAACGAGCCATTTTTGTTTTGCTTTTTTCGTGTATCGTCTGACGTCTCTTTTGCCGGACGACCGTTTCGTTCGTAACAACCACCGATCAAAGGTTCATGGGCTAATCGCATTATTGCATCGCTCACATAGAAGGAACGAACGAGGTTTCGCTGAGGAAAGAAGATATTCTTAACTTCGTTTCCAGTTTGCAAAATTTTTTACTGTCGAGTCGATGTAAAAAAGAACGCGAATCTCACCGGCAAACATTCCTCGAAGATTAACATTGTCCCGTGTACCGAAAGAAACGGTGTATCGAAGAATGAGTGTGGATCATCGAGTGATGCGACAATAGCAACGTTTAGCCTCCTTTTCACGTATTATATTGGTAGTAGATAAGTTCTTGTTCAGCATCGACTGAAGTATCTATTACTTCTTTTTCCACGAAACTGAATTTTTTACTGAAGATGGTTAGAAATCTCTCTTGACGCAGGTCAACAATGGGTTCAAATTCATTGCGTATTATCGTGACGCTTAATCGTTTAAAAACAAAACGTAATGCACGTGCAGAGAAAAAGTGCAAGTAAGAAAGGAGAAACAAACAAATACGTATTGAGATGGTTCAGAGTTCACGATTGCATGTAGTGATTCGAAGTTTTCCGCGATGAGGGAAGCGACGGTAGTGATAAATGGAATGAAGCAAACATCGAATTTTAGCCGATTAGTTTCGTGTATGCTTGCGTGCGTGTAGAAGAAAAGAGTGAAAGAGTGAAGGTGAAAATATCTTCGTTGTACAGAACGTTTCGGTAGGAAGAGGTAGGTAAAGGATAGAAGTGACAAGTAGTGATGATTTCTATTTTCTTGTTTTATTGATTCTTTCCAAGATGCTGTTAAGTGACACGTGCGTGAGACATCAGCCAAAATTACTTCTTTTTCTTTGTAGAATAACCGAGGAATCGCTGAGACTCCTTTTGTAAATACATTTAGTGAGAATGTAAAAAAGTAGTTTGGTCGATCATCGGGTAACAGTCTTCGCACGCAGGACCTTCGACTTATTTTCCAGTTAAACTCGGTCCGCGTACGGAGTGTCTCATCTTGTATATACACACAGGAATATATATCATAGCATACATATACATATATTTTTTTTATCGATCACGATCTCTTCAATGTTTTTACGTATATACATAAATACATACGTACATATACATGTAATATTATTCGCGACCTCAACCGCTGTCGTTTAGTTTTATGACTTCTTATTCATGTTATTTAGAGTTGATGTTTTGTTTCGTGATTTAAATTTGGAAGCGGATTCGACGAGTCGTTTCGAAAGTCGAGTTTAGCAAACCGTACATATTGTCCTGATTTACAATAGGTATCGTTCGCTGCTCACCGTTCACCCACCTATTCGAGACGACTTATTTTTGTAACTGTGTCGTTTCTAATTTCCGTGATGTGCTACGCGTCGATTTCTTGAATGTGGCGCAACAAGTGGCATGTAGTGTATACATATATTTACGGATTTTTTTTATTATAGATTGTGATATTTAACTAATGAACGATTAGTCAAGATTATTCTATATAATACGCGTATAGTGAGAGAGGGCGAGTGATAGGCGCTCAAGGTAGGGAGAAAATGGGGAAAAAAAGGAAAACGAACAGGAGATTGATTATTGAGATTAATCGGTCCTTCGACGTGGAGAAACGGAACGTTAGAATCAGAATTAAAATTGTTTACGTTTAGTTTGACTGCAATTATCGCCCCTCGTGTAGGGGAAGTTCTGCTCTGTGTATCGTGTTTGTAGCGTTTTTAGATGACATTTCTATTTCGTCGTTTTCCCGTTTTATGTTCGCGCGTATGCAGCGACTCGATAACTATTTTCTGGACGTAACAAGAGATGAAAATAAGAACAAATAGATAGATAGATAGGTAACAAAAAAGAAACAAGGAAAGTGGGAGTAGGAGGAAAATCAGCGTCGTAAGGAACGACGTGGATGTAACGTTATTTGAAGCCGACGAAGGGACGTTGATTTTTCGTTACCGCGCAGTATAAATAATAACGCTACCGACGTTATTATTACAAACGAATGTTATATTATTTGAAGAAGACGAAAACGCGTCGCGTCGGTCCGCGCTTGTTCCTCACCGCCGCGAAACCTCGCTAGACACGGCGATCGATCGATGTACGCTTTCTGCATATAAGACGCATTATTAATTCTCTTTATATATCATTTCACCTTACGATCTTACGTTTGAATTAATTAAGCATTCGTTGACGATCACAGTAGCGAGAGATTCTCGTAAAAGATGAGTCCTCGAGCATCGATCGAACGTCGTAATGAAACGGGGGGAAAAAGTAGTAGTAGCAATAAATTGTTCGATAGCAAATGATTAGAAGTAACGGGGTGACGAACGGACCGACGCGATTTTTCCGTGTTTCCAATCGTCTGTTTACTGATCTTCTCGGCTACCTGAAATCGTGATAACTTGTACATAAATCGCGTAAGCAATTACCCACAGTACCTATGGTATGAGATCTACATATATAGGTATATATTATATATATACATATATGATTATATATATATATATATATACATATATTACGAAAATCTATTGAAAAGTTGAAGGGGAGAGACATAGTGAAATCGCAAGCGTTTATCCGAATGCTATTTAACCCGCTGCGCTCGTTTTCCGAGCGTATCTTAACTAAACGCCGTGTATTAGAGAGAGGATGAAACTTACAATAGGCCGTATGATTTAAACCGACACATGTATTTACGTATAGCGTGTGAATATTTCCTGTACATAACAAGTGCCCCGTGCATGCTTGCGCCACACGAAATGCTGCATGCATGCGCGAAACCGTGTACGATCTTTTTTAGAGTACCACATTAATACTACTACAACTACTACTAGTACTGCAACTACTACTACTACTACTATTACTATTATTACCACCTACGTACCACACGTTAGTGTTCATCGATCGATGTTATTTCGCGCGAGCTCCGAAGTAACGATGCTCGAGTATCCCGCAGCTGTATATACCGACTCGAGCGACAACAATAATAATAATTATCACACTATCAGTAAACGAAAACGTTATATGCCGAACGAAATAGAGAAAAGAAACGGAAGGAAGAAGAAAAACGCTATTCCTCCAATAGTTGATTAATAGACGAACGACTGAAATAATTTCGTGAGAAGAGATACGAAACATTTTTTTAAACGGATTTAAACTTGCAGAGCAATAATACATATTCCACGACTAAGCAAGCGAGTGCACAGCAATAATACTAATTTCTGTAATTACTGTAATGTTAAGAACACGTTCAAACAGAACGGTTTTTCAGTACGAAAACGCGGATAAAAGAAGTTTTTGTTCATTCGGTTTAAAATCCAAAGTCAAAATCAGTAAAGGAATATTGTTTTTCGTTTTCTATAATCTTTATATCTTCCGTTTGCTCTGGTTATCGCCTGTGTATTTCTATTATTTCTGTTTTCCTTCGACGGTACATGGAGAGAATACGACCGTCCGATGTTTAATCGATGATTCTTTTTCGTTCCGGTTTTTTTTTTTAGGTGGATCCCGTCCGAATAACCCGGAACGCGCGTTAGTATTTTCGTTCCGCCCGTTAAATTAACAAAATCCCGCGTGAAACTGCTGTGCAGCAGACATTTCGTGGCTCGCATAAGACTGAGTACGCTTGAGACGAGGAAGGAAACGAATTGTACGTCTGCGGCGTGTCTGAAGTCGACCAACTCGCCGTTCGTAGAGAAAGATTGTTTCTTTTGTAATTAACGATTTCGTTGCGGAGATCGCGGTTTTGTTTGTGTTTGAATGTTGGAGAGCAACCGGGAGAGTGAGAGTAAGAGAATGAGAAAGACGGATCGATTTTAGCCGTCGTGCACGAATTGCCACTCTTTCGGTCCAGAATCGTGCGTCGGAAGCGGCAGAAGTACGATTTCGCGTTTCCACATAGCCCCCCTTCCCTTCCCTCCCCCCTCGTTGTTTCGCGTACACAACGGCGACGCTGTAATTTCACACGGAAAGAAAGAAGTAATGATGAAAACTAGTAATACTGCTCTGACTTCGTTCATGACGCAAGAAGATATGACGAGATACTTTTTGTGGCATTTAATTTAAATATACGTTTTATATTTATTTGTAAGTTGATTTTGTTCATTCAGTCCGTCTCTCACCTTCCAACCATATTCGTCTATTTTCCACGTATGTATTCACTAAGTCATTTTCGTGGGTAACGTTAGTAAAAAATTCGCATGTGCTTTTCTATTCACCACATATCATTTACATAATTGTTAGTTGGAAAATCGATTGAATTTTACACGAATTTATTATGAATATATTTATTAATATCTTTCATTGTTATAAGCTTTGTGTTAGATTTATATCGTAACACATGCTGATTGTATTTGTAATCTGCTGTCGTAAGTGTCTTTCGAACTAGAATACACGCGGTCACGCATAGGCACGCGTGAGAATCGATGGATTAGAGTCAGCTGATTAAATTGGTTTTTCCAGGCGGTAGGGTTTCACTGGCAACGGACCCGCGAGTTATTTTGAAAGCGATTACCCTTTCGGGAGAAGAAAGGATCCGTTAAAATATAAAATTAGAGAGTATACTTAAAATAGTGTGTCGGTCGCCTTTTGAAGTCAGACAGTACACACGTTCCTTGGCGCTTCCTCCTCGCGCGAACGTATCTGCTTGGGAGAGAGAAGAAAAGATGTGTTACATTTAAAAGTTTAACGGCTAACTGATAAGCGCAGAGCTCGTCATTTACCATTTCCGTGCAGCGACTGACTTTGTACAATACGTGTAAGAAATCTGCATTGATAGGATACGCCGCGTTCGCAGTTAGGGGTTTCCTTGCGAAAGTCATTTCCCAGTTCGCTTTTCTTATAATGTCACAAATCAGATTCTTTATTTTATTCGTAGGTATATTCATTTTTTATTGTTTCCCGACAGATTTTAAGATTCTAAAATTCTAAAATATTCATAAAAGATAAGGAAAGTAGATTAGGAAATGGCTTTCACTCTACCTTGTGCGAAAGGCATCTTTGGTCCTGCCCTTAATGAGAAGTAGAATATTGTCCTATTTAATACTTAACGTATTTAGTGGGTCTTAGTGCCATCGCTTAATACCACGAATTCGGAATCAAAGGTGCCGTTCGTACACTCTCCCGCGATATTTACCTAATAATAATATTTTTTTATGCACAAACTGGCCGATACCAGGGGAAAAGGAAAAGACAGTATAACAGTATAACGCTTCGAGTATAGATCATACGTATACATAATAAATTGATAGTTTTCGTCGATCAAGAAATGTGAAACATACGTACGTACATAGGTACATACTACCATTACTATCTACCTTGTTTATAGTCTTCTTCACCTCAACGATTTAATCGCGTCAACTAAAGAGTGAACATTGTCGCGTTTAATCGTTCAATCTATTACTTATCGAGTGAATTCCTATTAAATAAGAAACGAAAGATTCTGACGATCCAGGTAAACATTATTTCACGATTATCGATTCAGACTTTCGATCAGATCCGACACTCGGTGTCCCTTTGAGCGTTTACTTTTATACAATTAAATTACTCTTGTTCCATAAGAGCATCTTTCCATTTATGATAGTATATTTCTAGGAAAGTATAGCTAAGTGGCCGGCGTTGTGAATATTTGTAAAAAATGAACGGGGGATGTTAAAATGGCACACGCTCGTGATCACGTTTCTCTCAGGTATTTAGCGTGTCTGTAATCTGTATAATAAATAATTCAGAGACCTTCTCCTTCCGCAAGGTAGTATACGATGTAAACCAAGATCCGATCTCGTGTTTCTCTTAGAAGCTTCCTCCGTAATCGTAATTTTCATCGTGTTTGAGAATTCAGAAAAATCCATTAAACGTACTTGTAGACAAAAAAAAAGAGAAGTCATTGCACGAACGTGCTTGTCGTGCATTGAACGATCGTGAGAATATAGACTGGAGAGAAAATATTCATACAGTATTGCAAATTTGTTTTTACATTTTTTTAATCAGTTAAATGAGAAAGTCTGATACAGGAGGAGTTATTAATTAACATTATCGATCTCCTGCACGTCAATAAATATATCTCTAACTATGCAGAAATTTTTAAACATTCTCAGAAACTGTTCCCAAGGAACAATTTTATCGTTCAGTTTTACATCTCATCTCTAACCGTACGAGTGAGGCGTTCGCGATCAACCGGTAAAAGTAGACTAAGAGAAAACTCTGAAGTAAAACGCGAAACCATAAAAGTAACATTGAACTCTCATGCATCCTGTTATGGAAACTATACTTCATTTTTAATGTCGGTAGAAGAGTATGTAAGCAACGTACGCGTGTCGCTTTTTGAGAAAGAACGTGACAAGCGTATCATTGTGTTTTATTCAAAAGCGAAGCTACGACGAAACAGTATTAGGAGAAGAGGTAGGTGAAGTTTTGACCCGATGATCGGGCGAACGGTCACCGCGATGATTTTCACAAATTACAAGCGTAACGAGCGACCGGTGTATTTCGCATCGTACCTCGAATGCTGACTAAGCTGATTGTCTTAATTTATTTTAAGATTACGCGTGATAATTCAGAAAAATACGAAACGAAGGAATTGAGAAGATGGATGTTGGTTTTATTAAGGAAAGAAAGGAGACAATGTCGATGCGAGAAAGTGGACGCGTGTATGACGTGGAGAGTTTCGGAGTGCGATCAGCAGAGGCAGTATTGTTACACCGTTGATCGTTATATGTGCATAAAAAGCTTCAGAAATAAAAGAAATCTGAATCCCAATGCGACGTGTTTCCCTATTGACAAAATAAAACTATAAAATAATTTCATACGACTTATATTACATGTTTCTTAATTTCTACGATTTTACGTATTATTGAATAGATTAGCGAGAGTTATCTTCCTCGTCGATTCTCGGATACGTTTCCATTCCTGAATGTCGAACGTCGCGTCGCTTTCAGGACAGAATTTTGCAGAGCACGAACGAGTTTCACGTGTGACGTGAAAAGAGACGCCGCACTCTCGGATATCCTCGGGGACGAAGAACTGGTCCACCCACTGGGAATTCCAGATTTTTCCATCGGACACGGGGAGGAGCATGGGAAGTAAGCGTGGTTTCGATCGATTCGCGTCGATCTCGATCGGGAACGATCCTTATCAAGAATCGCACGACGTGTAGTACAAGCCGTGTACAAGCCTCTGCTCGATTTACACTTAATGAACATGCAGCGAAAAAGAAATCAGCAGTAGAATTAAGGACGTACAAGTGAAAAGTACTAATTATTTTCACTTTTTTTTTTTAACTTTAATTGCAACGAGGCGATGAGAATTATTTGAACATGTCGAATCGGCCTTGACCCTCGCAATAACATTTTAAATTGCTTGTTTTTAAGTCACGTCTTTTATTCTCGCCCCATATTCAAAGCCCGTGTTCGTATTCGAAACTCGTATACCTGAACAAATTGTTTTCCTCCCTCGACACAATCACCGCTATCGTAAACAGCGCACGTACAACAATAAATTCGAACGCGCACGCAAATACGACGATGTTTATGAGTAACGCGTTTCATCCGAGAGGGGAGATGTTAGAAGCCGAGGTAAAGGGAAAAAGCTGTCCGACATTATTCACTGTTTATTTCCCTACGGCTTAATCCCTTCATTAAACGGCGACCACTCGACAACCGATTCGTATCTCATTACCAACGTTCCCGGCTATTAGTCATTCCGAAGATCCTAAGACGTAATTATAATCTTCCGCCATTTATTTCTCCCGGAGCATCTACACAGCAGGTTCTTTGAGATTACATTCTTTCATAGTGATATATGTATGTATCATAAGCAATTTCCTATCTGTTCTATACATCTACAAGTTTATGGACTTGTTTCTCAAGTTTCACTTCCAAATCATACATAATCTTTTCGCCTCTCTTAATGAAGTAACAAGTGAAATCACGATTTTTCAAATTAAATAGAATTTCTCATGTGTTAGAAAATTTTATTCGCGACCAAAGAGTCTGCAAAAATCAAACTCCGTTTGACTGCGAAGCTGGACGTAGATGAGATTAGGCAGGACGAAGCAGACCGTTTGACTCGCCGCTCCGCGGGTCTCGATTTGGTCGAGGAACGCGTCAGGCGGATGAAATCGCGCGACATGCTTAATTCACTGCTGCTCGTCTGTTCTACCATTAGCGCAGCTGGGAGCCTGGGAGTAGCTGGTAACAAAAGCGCGAACGCTTTAACGAACCACGAAGAGAAGGTAGCGCTGTGCTGTCTGCTCTTTCGGCGAGGTAAAATTAGAGGTGGGCCGCCGCGGCAATTATTAAAATAGAAGAGAGTGACCGGGAGTGAGTCACCCGCGAGGTGGAAATGCGCGAAATCTATTTGTCGACCAGGCCAGCTGGACCCGATCGAGGATTCGCGCGATTCCCGGGTCATTGCCATCTCCCGCTGTTATTTACTTACTTCACCAGCGTAAAAGCTGCTCCCCGTCGCGTTTAACTGTTGACTTTGGCCGTGGACTCATATGGGAACAAATCATAGTAAAGACGCCGCGTGTAACCAGTTATCAGTTTCATCTGATTCCAAACGCAACGCGCGCGACGTGACTGGAATTTACGGACGTTCATTGGAGCATCGCGTCGCGCCGCTTCGAGCTGTTGGTAAGACGTTACGTTACGGTTAGTGGCTCGTTAACCCCTTGACTGGTGGGGTGTGAGTCGCGCGAGACGCAAATAGGATTTTCACGGGAAGGAAGCGTCAGGTCGATCTTACTCTGATTTTAGGAAAGTTGATCCCCGACCGCAAACAACAGTCAGTAAACATATTTTAGTAATAATTACCCTTTCAGGATATGTGAAAGCTATTCTTGTAACATTCGGTATTAACAAAAAATGACTTCAGTCCCTTCGTAGTTCAGGTATGTACGACCAAATAGGATTTTTATTGGTGAGGGAGCATCAGGTCTTCTTCTGAGTTTAGGAAAGTTGATCCTCAACCGCGAACAACAGTCAGTAAGTATATTTTAGTAATAACTACCCTTTCAGGATATCTGAAAACTAATTAACAGAGGGTAACTTCAGTCCCTTCGTAGTTCAGGTATATACGAGAAACTAGGATTTTTACAGGTGAGGGAGCATCAGGTCGATCTTTTTCTGATTTTAGGAAACTTGATCCCCAACCGCAAACAAAACCAGTAAATATATTTTATCTCTTCAGAATATCTGAAAGCTTTTCTTATAGCATTCGGTATTAACAAAAAATTACTTCAGTCCCTTCGTAGTTTAAGTACGACCAAACAGGATTTTTATGAGTAGGAAGCATCAGGTGGATCTTATTCTGATTTTAGGAAAGTCGATCCCCAACCACAAACAAGAAATATAAAAAATATATATTTCAATATCTTTTCAGGACGTTTGAAAGCCATATGACTATTCTTGTAACATTCTGTATTAACAGAGAACAACCCCAGTCTCTTTGTAGCTGAAGTATGTACGCGGCGCGAGTAATCAGACACCGTGCTTCAAAAGAACAATGCCGTGTCGTCTTAACCCTACCGGTCGAGGCTAAGGTTACTTTTCAAGCATACTATTCCATCGAAAAAAAAGATGATTCTCTTGCGACGAAGACGTAAGACGTGATCCGCGACAGTGCTCGTTTCTGAAGCAAAGCTTTAAGTTTATCGGTCGGATCTTCTTCTACCTGGGACGAAAGTACCATTGCTGACTAATCCGCGTCTGGACCAGGCGGGCTGGTTTTAGGACCTGAACTGAACGGTCTTATTCAGGGTCGAAGATTTGCGAACTGAATAGCCTGTTTCTTCGAAGTAGAACCGCGTGACGTCATTCGCTTCTTCCCTGTCACGTTCTTCCTGCTTTCGGCGGTCGGTCGTTGAAAGAAAACGAGATCCACGGCCTGCCGCGATTATGTGACTCACGATTTCGACAAAACCCCGTTTTACACAGTGGATCGACTCGCACCGAGCGGAAAATAATTTTCACTTTCCTCGATCCACTCTTGCGTACAATTACATCACTCTCTCGACGCTTCCTTTCCCGATTCACGTTTACCTACGCCAACACACGGCTCGCGGTAATGATCGTAAAACGATCTGCGTGAAAGCTCGCCGACTATTCCTCGACTCCGCGATCTCGTATCTCGTTCGCGGTTACGTAAGATCAGATGAAAACTCATTAACGTGTTAATTGAACGGTAATTGTGCAACTTTCCTTCTAATCTTTCCATTACGATAATATTTTATCAAGATATATTTACATCCATCGTAATATATACGATGGATATTTTGTTCGTCTATAATTGTTCATTGAATATTCAAAACGGCGCGTCTGTTTTCCGTGTCACAAGGAGTCGAGCAAAAAATTCTTTATTCCGCAGGATAATCGAGCATCTGGTAACCGAGGCAAAAGTTGCGAATGCGTCCCTGACCCTTACCTGATCGACTTCTTTTCACCCGGTGGGGCGTGGGGCCCACGGGGCCTCGCTTCGTCCCGTCCCACCTTCCGGAGGTACCTTTCGAACGGAGCAACCTGCCTGGCGTTCCTCTGATCTCCCTCAGCATCCACCGAATCCTCCGTCCTTTTCTCGTTCGCCTCTTTCTCTATTTCGAACACGCGCTGCCTATCTCTGTCCCGTCGCCGCTCGCAGCTATAAGCACGTTTCTTTTGCCTTGGTACCGCAGCAAGCATGGAAGGGGCCAGAGGCCGAAGGAGAAGGAGAAGAACCAGTCGTGAACCAGAACCGTCGGTCCTCAGAATCTCCCAGTCACCTCTTCGAGTCTGTGCGGGGACCAGCGCGTGGATTCGTTCCGATCGCGCGGTTTGCGATATCCATCTGAACGTCTCCCCCGTACTGTAACGACGATCGAGGAAAGAGGGTGCACCGAGGATGGCGCAGGAGACGCCGGCCGAAGACGCGGAGGATTGACAGGTTGGTGAGCCGATTTCGAGTTGCTACGAACGAGCGTTAGCGAAAAACCGGTCTGCAACAGCCACCCCGTTCGTGACATTGCTCCGAAATAAGTACTACCGGCACCGAACCGGTACCTCGTTCAATTGGTTCTATTAGTAGACACGAATGTACACGTTATTAATAATTTTAATCGAACTGTTTGCGATTTTATAATCCTGGTTATAACACGATATTTCTTAATCGAGTCGCTCTACGTTTATTTATTTCGTAATAACTTGATATAACGAGATTCGTTAAAATCGAACTTCATTAAAATTCTTTCGTACACTATTGTTCGTTTTATAATAAAAATTCTGAATGGGAGACTCATTAGCGATCGATCTTCCCAATGTGAGATCGTGGCATTGCCGGGCTAATTATGATTTGAACGGGTGGTCGCGTTGGTGGTATCGGAAATTCTGTCTCGAAATGCGTAGGAGATCCTCGATGTAAATGCTCTTCGAAGGACAATAACGGCTGAAACGCGTGGGCCATATTAAATTATTCGTAGCGAAACTCCGCGGAGACTCGATAAATCTCGTGTCAGAGTTAATGCGACATTAAATGATGGACTCTACCGAGAGTTCGGGAGCCAATCAGTCTGTCTAACCAGTCTGTATGAAGGAAAATAATTAAAGGTTCAATCATATAATCAAATGTTTAAGGAGACAATTGAATATTTACATTATTAAATGTTTGGGA